CCTTACTTTCCACTCCTATCTCTCCAATCCAAAGCCCCAACTTGAGAGAGTTTTGAATGTAAAGGAGATTATATTTTGAAGCACAAGAGCAAGGGATTCATCACCAAGCAACCTCAATCTTGTTACTTTTGGAGGTTGTACGCCTCAAAGATCAGCTAGGTGTTTTGGGAGCCTTCAAGGTGTGAAGGAACCAAAAAGTTTGTGAAGATCTACCCCGAGTGAGGCTAGATCTTTGTGATATGACATGTTGGCATAGGTTGGTTGCTCCTTCGGGGAGATCTCGTAGGTGTAGTCTGTGGAGCTCGCAACCAGTATCTCCATAATCCTAGTGCCATGGGAAAAAACTTCACCAAGCATCCCCATGTTTGCATTCTCCTAACCTCTAGTCTTTACTTGTGCAAGCTTCATTTCAACTCTTACTCTTGTAGGCTTGCCTGTGTAGGGTGTTTTAGGGAACAGTAGAAAAGCTTAAAACGTGCCAACGTCTAAAATTTGGAGTAGGCACTCCTCATTCGTAGAGGTTAAACTTTTAGTAGTCTATCCACCCCACTCAAGACATTTCAAAACCCGCTCAAAGAAAATTAGCAAAGAATTTCCTTGAAGAAATATAGCTATAAAATTTCTCCGAAGAAGTATATAGTGGGATAATATATAACAAAGAATATTCCTGAAGAAATATAGTTGATTAGTAAAACTAATTTCAAAGTTAATTATTGTTAGTAGTGCATTTCAACTCAAAATTATACAAGGGATGCACAAAGGCGAGACAAGCATGACATGATGACAGTCAACAATGAAAACGATTCGAGAGTAAAGCAAGACAAGAATGGCCGTTAACAATGAAAATGATTCAAGAGGAAGGAACTAGTGTTTGTCTGAGTTATATTAACAAAATAGATCAACCATTTGTCTATTTTTGACATAGTTTACCACAAGTAAACTGATGTGAACAAGCTTGTGACTAACACTTTTTGGTTAATTGCAATAATTAACCAGAAGGAGTTATTGACCCACACGAAGTTATGCTATCAAATCACCTCAAAACTTGAGGAAGTAGACGCCAATGTTGATTTTTAACTCTTGTAAGGTAGCTTTTTCATATGCATGAATCAACCACAACATCTACTAGAGTTCACACCTTTAGGGGCATGAACAAGCCACCTAATCTACCTTTGTTTGCTTGAAGGCCGAGTTAGTATGTCCTATAAAAGGGGGGGGGGGTACCCCATATGGCAAGGGAGAGTTGAACGATGTATTGTTGTAGCCTTGTAGGCTTTTTGAGGGCCAAGTTCCTTGTTGTAAGAGTACTATTTGTTAAACACTTGTATGTGGATAGGATCCATGTGGTTCAAACTTGTATTTCTTTCTCTTTTTTTGAGGGAACTTGTATTTCTTTCTTAGGTTGTTATGCAAGGCTTTGTGTCAGTTTGCGTCGTAGTAATTACTCCCACCCCCTATTTGGCATGGCATGCCACTTAGGAGGTCAACAATAGTCCAAGAAAGCTCCGACAGGTCCAAGCAAGCCACCCCAGTCAGCGAAAGTCCAAGTAAAGCTTCATGGTCAACAAGACAAAGAAAGGACATATAAAAGAATAAATCAAAGATGGACGCAAATGAGCAAAAAAGACCAAGTCCAAGCTAGAAACCCTTTCTATAGTGGAGGGAATCCTCCCCTATTGGGCCTCCGCCCCTCCTAGCCAACTAGAGGCCTATGGGCCAAAGGATAAAAGATTACCTAGTCCTACCCTCCCACCACCTCTTTTCAAGGGTAGCCTTGGTCATTTGTCAAGGACCCCTAGGCTATATAAGGCCCCTATGGGCATGTAAATCACTCACTCCCTACTTAAATGAAGTCAAGAGGGTTAGTCTCTCTTCTTCCCTTTTAGCTCCCTCCGGCGAGCTAGCAAGGTTGAGCTCGGACCTAGTCAGGCTCAAACTAGTTAGGGGTTGTGGGACTCCAGAAGCAGAGAAATTTCAAGTGTCCCGTGCGTCGGGCACTACTCCGACCACTTTCGAGAGTCACGGACCCAGAAATGGCGGGCACTCTTAAGTGGCACATGCATCAAGCACACTCTCGTGGACCCTTACTCATAGGATGTAGGTCGCACTCCAACAGGGCGACTGGACCTATTTAAAGAACATCGTTCTGACACTTTGTCAGGTGTACGACGACTTTCGCAATAAGGCATCCACACGTCCACCAACTCATACTAACCACATTGCAAGAGGCACCATTAGTGATAGTTGACTCTTGAACGCCAACATTGGTGCCGACCATGGCGAATCCTCGCCGTGTGAAAAGTCATTGACCATGAGGAAGATGGCATCGCCTAAATCAAGTTCTGACCGAAGCCGAAGGCAAGGAAAGGTAAGGCATGTCGACACCGTAAGGTGAAGACTCCTCGAAGGCACCTCATAATCATGCAGATCCTCGACGCCGTACGGAGTCGCGTGGATCCTCGATGCCATGACCCCGTTCATCTTCACCAAGATTGGAGTCGTCGCGGATTCTCGACGCCGCTTCGCTCGGAGTCGTGTGGATCCTCAACACCGTGACCTCGCTCGTCTTCACCAAGCATGGAGTGGAGGCCACTCCGCTTAGAGTTGCTCGGCTCCGTAAACTCGAAGCTCATCGCCCTTCAAAGCCGCGGCCAAAGTTTGCTCCCACTCATGCCCGAGACTGCAACGCCTTTGTGGCTCCATCGCCTCGATGTCGCGACCAAGTTTTCCCTCATCACTATGGCCAAGTCAGGCGAAGGGAGCTGCAACACCAGCACACCTCCGCCAACTTGAAGAAGCCCGGGAGTCGGGCACCACTCTCGACAGCCCTTCCCCATAGAACATAGGTCTCTCTCCAACGAGATAACTGGATCTATTTAAAAAATATATGGTTACGTCACTTTATCGAGTGTACCGCGACCTTTGCTATAAGGTCGTCGTACACCCCTTGTCGTTGTTTGTAATCTCTCAAACTAAGTTAGTTATCCTAACTTTATTCTCTAGACACCATGAAAGATTAGCCACCCCCTACAATGCTCATCATAAACTAAGAGAATACATGTTATATGTTAAGGAGTATTAGTATTGGTCTAGGAGTCTGTATTGGGCCATGTTTCATATCTTGTACCCCAAGTATTGTGTAATATATAGATATATGCCCCTTGGGCTATGCAATAAAGATAAGTTGCATCCATAACATGGTATCATGAGCCCAGGTGTTGGCCGCCTTGCTCTGTCCCGTTTGAAGCCATTGGATCGGGACTCTCCATGCAGGTCGTTGCCTCCCCCATCGAGTTGCATCACCACCCTCAATCTCTGCTCCAGATCAAAGGAGCCTCATGTCCATAGTGCACAGGTTGCTAGCGCTCATTGTGTGCCCGCGTGTTGGACATAGTTCTATTACATCAACAACTGCCTCTCTAGATCGGGCCGAGCCACACACACACTTGGATCAAACTCGTCGCCACGCGCATGTCCTGGTCGTTGCCATAGCCTCCCCTTCATCTGGTGGCGCGGCCGATGTCAGGCCATTGCGTCGCTGCCTTTCCTGGTCGCTTATCGAAGCCGCCGGCACTCGCTGCTTGCATGCCTAGTCGTTGCAGCCCTAGGTCGGACCGGCCACCGGGTTACCCATGCCCACACTCCCCTGCCACTAGCTCCTCACATCCCCACGCGTGGCTCTCTAGAGCCTGTCTCCACCGCACGACCGGCCGACTCCTATATCTGCAAGCCTACTCGCATATTTCCCCATGTGAGGTTATCTCCTCCTGCTAGCATGTGGTGCTTGCGTAGCTACCTACTGCCCTTGTGATGATGTCTTGCCACTAGCATGCGTTGCTTGCATGGATGCTTGCTGCTTTGCATGTTGGCTCTTCCCTGCAACTGCTTGTTGTGTGCGTTGTTGGTTGTTATTTGGTCCACGTGCGGCTCTTCCTTGCTCTAGTTGGTGTGCTAGTTGCTTGGTGATGCGGCCTTCCTTGCTATCGTGCCCTATTGTAGTTTAGTTGCTTGTTGCCTTATGTGCTCCTTGGCTTTAGCTCTTCCAAAAAGCCAGTTACAATGTCGTTTGTCTCCAATGATTCCTCGTCGGTGGTTGTTTTGTCAACTCCGTCTAATTGTTGCTCGTCACTGCTACTCATCAACATCTCACGTGTTGGGCCTCCTCTGCAGCTTCTCATGCATACACAATGCCTCTTGCATCTTTGTCTCATGTGTGCTTCCTAACTTCTAGCTCTATATTTTCCGTTGCGTCCACCAAATCCGTTGTTCTTTCATGTTTCTCATGTTAAGTTCTACCGTGTTTCTCATGTTATGTGAGTCTACCACACCTTCATCTGCCAACCTCTTTTTCTGGTCCTAGTCCTTTCTATACAACTTTTGTGGCCTTTTCCCATCCTTGTTGTTTTTATAGGATTTCCGTGGCCTCCTTTTGCATTGTCGGTCGACACCCATTCTCTTGCCGCCGAGCTTCTCTCACCGCCGGTTTTCTTGGGCTATGATTTTGTGTGCAATGCTTCATTCCCTTGATGTGCCATCTTCTTTTGACAACCCATCTTCTCTTGATGCTTATCTTGTACTCCCTCCGTCCCATAATGTAAGACGTTTACACTAGTGTCAAAAAACGTCTTACATTATGGGACGGAGGGAGTATCTTCTACTAATGCGATGTCTTACTCTGATGCGCCGTTTTCTCGTTATCCTCTTTGGCTTGACTCAACGGGTTTTGAAGACACTCCATGCTACGATGACACTCAAGACACGGATTTTGGATTATCATTTTTTTTCTAGTGTTACGTCTATTGCATATGCTTTACACTTGAGGGGGTGTTAAGGACTACTAGTATTGTTCTAGCAGTCCGTATTAGGCTATGTTTCCTTCCTTGCCAAGTCCCATGTAATATATATGTGCCCCTCGGGCTATGCAATAGAGGTAAGTTGGATCCATAACATATACATAGTGGTGAATCCACAAGAAACAAATATTTATGTACTGAAATCACCTGACCAAGATGTAGAAAACTGTGGCTGTACAGGTTATATGTGATATCGCCGAACTTGAACACGTGGGAGAACTCCGGAGGCATAGGTTTATCGGTGGCGAACGTTATCTATTAATCATGAATACCACAACAGTAAGAAACCCGAAAGGTTTACTGCAAGAAGTAATTTCTTAGCATGAAAATGGTAACGAGACCTGAATAGAAGCCCCACCAAGCTCAATTATCCCAGTAGTATCTTGTCTAGCACCACCGAGAGTACCCAATGCATAATTTGCCGCAACCCATGCATAAATCCCTTCATCAGCTCCTGCGCAGCAGTTTAAAGTGGATTAGTAATCACCTTAGTGGAAATAGAAAAAATTAGTGTGTCTAGGGCACATCTAGATGTGCCCTAGTTAGTGCACATCTAAGTGAGTAAATCAAGCACAAAGAGGAAAAGAAAAAAGAAAAAGAAAATATCCACACGAATCTCCACGTAAGATCAATGACATAGGGACTTAGATGTGCAATACTTATGGCACATCTAGATGTGCTTTAGCAAAACTGAAAAAAATACCAATCTTTTTCTGCAGATAAACGGCACGCTTGTCCTGATTCAATGCAACCCCGTCCCAAACACTAATCTATCAAATGCAAAAACATGAATTCAACATATTTCCATCCATGAATATACTGATCTATCGCATGCAAGCACTGCAAGTCCGCACATTTCGACAGCATGTACTCAAACTGAGCAGTTTTATACTTCCATTCTGTAACATACCTGAGATCATAGTGGCCCACTGATCCTGGAAACGGAAGCCTGACCCCCGAAGCAGCTCCCTGCATGACTCCATGATCGCTTCAGCAGTCGTGACATCAAGCAGACGGACTCCGGCCGTGGCCATGAGTCGCACCTCGGTGTGAACCCAACTATCCCGCGGCACGTGCCGCCTTGCGAACTCCAATAGCGGGGCGATCGACAGGCCCCCGCTGCCTGGGTCGGCTGCGAACGAGGACAAACCAGGGGTGGCCTTCAGTGACGACGTGCGCGACCAATCCAGCTGCAGGAGCGCGCCCGCGTGGTAGGTGATGACGTGGACGCGGCTCCCCGTGCTGCCGGCGTCAATAACGATGCCATAGCTGAGGGGCGACGAGCGGGGGAGGAGGAGCGCGAAGGCGGTCGTCGCGAGGAACATGAGAGAGCCGGCGAGGTGGCGGCGGCTGCTACATGAACTGGATCGTTGCCGTTGGGCAACCATCTTGGATGCGGGGGTAGGAGTTAGGGTTTGTTCCAGTGCTTGGGCACGCGGCTCGACGCGGGCTTTAGTGCGGCACATCTAAGGCTAAGGCTAAGAACATGTCCAGCCGTTCGCCCCGCGCCGAAAAAGAGCGGCCTGGGGTGCGTCAGCCATAAACTCGGCGCTGGGGTTCGGCACCCAGCCGTCGTCCCCAGGCGTCAATTTTAGCGCAATTTTCGGCCTAAATATATTCAAAAACGACCCGATATTTGCGTGAATCGGTTCATATTTGGCGCGGTTCGTTGTGTTTCGACGTGAATTTTGACATACAAATAAAAATCAATTAGTTCGTCACATAGTTCGGCGTGTATCGGTGTGTTTCATCACATAAATTAAATAGTAAAATAAATAGTTCACGCCATCAAATAGTTTAACAACAAGTTTCATCACACAACATCCCCGGCCTCGCCCTTGAGCCTCCATAGGTGCTCCACCAGATCGTGTTGTTCTTGATGCACATGTGGGTCTCGGATCTCCTGACGCATATTGAGGTAGTCAGTTCAGTTTGCCGGTAGCTAGTGATCAACTTGGGCAAGAGGACCCTGCTTGTAATATGGTTCAGTGTCAAACACTGGCTCTTCCTGCTCGCTCTCAATGATCATGTTGTGCAAGATAACACAACAAGTCATGATCTCCCAAATTTGGTTTTTCGATCAGGTCTGAGCGGGGTACCGGACAACAGCAAATCGAGATTGGAGCACACCAAATGCCCGCTCGACATCCTTCCTGCAAGCCTCCTGAATCTTCGCAAACTAGGCGTTCTTGCCTCCTGGCACAGGGTTTGAGATGGTCTTCACAAATGTCGACCATCTCGGATAGATGCCATCAGCTAGATAGTACCCTTTGTTATACTGCCGTCCATTGACCTCGAAGTTCACCGGAGGAGAATGACCTTCAACAAGCTTGGCAAAGACTAGGGAGCACTGCAGGACGTTGATGTCATTGTGAGTTCCTGGCATCCCAAAGAAAGAGTGCCAAATCCAGAGGTCCTGTGTGGCCACTGCCTCAAGCACCACACTGCAACCGTCTTTGGCGCCTTTGTATAACCCCTGCCAAGCAAATGGACAGTTCTTCCATTTCCAATGCATGCAGTCGATGTTTCCAAGCATCCCAGGAAATCCTCTTGCTTCATTCTGTGCTAGGATCCGAGCAGTGTCTTCCGCATTGGGTGTTCGCAAGTACTGCGGTCCAAACACTGCCACCACTGCCCTGCAGAACTTGTAAAAACACTCAATGGTGGTGGACTCGGCCATGCGCTCATAGTCGTCGAGTGAATCACCGAGAGCTCCGTATGCAAGCATCCTCGTAGCTGTCGTGCACTTCTAGATTGAGGTGAATCCAAGTGTGTCGGTGCAATCCTTCTTGCACTTGAAGTAGTTGTCGAACTCCCGGATGGAATTCACAATCCGGAGGAAAAGCTTTCGGCTCATCCGATAACGACACCGAAATATTTTCTCACCGTGCAATGGAGCGTCGGCAAAGTAGTCCGAGTAGAGCATGCAGTCCTTCCAGACGATACCGGTTCTTTGCTTTCACCCGCCCAAGCGCCGAGCCACCTCGCTGCGGCTTTTCACTGCTCGCGAGCAGGCTGGCGAGGGCGGCGAGCACCATGAGATGCTCCTACTCCTGGACGTCGGCTTCGGCTTCCTCATCCAGCAACGCCGCAAGCGCCTCCTCATCTTCGGAGTCCATCACCGGGCCGGGCAATTCACCGAACACCTTGTGGGCGAGGTGGGCGTAAGCCCGTCGATGTATAGGCCCTACGTGGGCGGAACGCCGGAAAAGGTGCCCGGGCAGCGGCGAAGAGGCTGCCTCGGCGAAACCCCTTCTTTTTTCCCGGCGGGAGATGGTCTACCTAGCTGCGGCGGGCGGTGGTCG